ATGCCTACCTAGCTGGGATCATTTGAGCCCAGTTTTTTTTTTTTCTCCTGCCCTGGCAGGGGGTCAGACTTGAAGATCTATAAGGTCCCTTCTGACCCTACTTCTATGGTTCTGTGAGCCATTAATTACTACCTTTTGAGCCTGACAGTCCAGCCAGCTTTATATTCACCTTACAGTCCATTCATCTAACCCATACTTCCTTAGCTTGCCTGCAAGAATGCCGTGGGAGATAGTATCAAAAGCCTTGCTAAAGTCAAGGTATATTATTAGGGGTGCACCAATACAGATTTTCATGACCAGTACTGATAGCTGATTATTAACCAGCCATATTGGCCAATTCCGATTTGATAACCAATTTACGGGAATGCGGCTGGGCAGCGTGGAGAGCAGTGCCCTGTAGGTAAGTCTGTGGAGGTGAGGGGGTATATGGGGAGCCAGGCTGAGGCCCCCACGCTGATGGAGGGAGTGGGGAAGGGGCAGGTGCAGGGGATGCTGCCCAGCCAGGGTGATGAATGGCCTTTAGTTCAAGCACCGTTGCCACCACCAGTTTTAAGCACGGGGGATGCCTTTAACCAGAGTGGGGGAGAGGGTGGAATTGGGCTGCTTGCTGTGGGCTTGGGGCTCTCCATCCTGCTGCCTTCACACCAACAGCCCTACACCAGCCCAGTTTTGCCTTGTGCTGCCAGGCTGGTACGGGGCTCTCAGGGCAAAGGCATGAGAGTGGAGAGCTCTGAGCCCACAGCAAGCAGCCTGCATCCACCCTCGCTCTATTCCTATTAAGTGTCCCTGTGCTTAAAAATGCTGGTGGCAGCATTTGAACTAAGGCTCATTGGATGAAGTTTAGTTCAAGCATCCCTGACACCCTTTTTAAGTGCTGGGACACTGATCCTCTGGATGAGCCCCAGCCCCACTTCCCATTCACTGCCCTGGCTGGGTAGTGCCCCCTACCCTTTCCCCCACCCACACCCCTTCCCTCCACAGACTTACCTGTGGGGTGCTGCTCTCCACGCTGCCTGGCTGCATTCCTAGCCATGTGCAGGCTGCACATTTTCATGTGATCCTTGATTTTTATCCTGCCTGGTTACCATACAGAAGAATGCTGGGCCAGGTTGATGGCTTCTGGAGTCTTCTACCTCTCAACTGCTGGTCCACAGGGGCAGCTGGTGAGGCGGGGGGGAAGGAGTGGTGCACTTGCACCCCTCCTTCATCCCTGCTCTGTGTGAAGTTTAAAACCAACTGCCTGGCAGTGGCTGCAGCATTTTTAGTCAGGTAGTGCTGAAAGAATCCATTGATTTCATGTCTTATTATCGCCTCCCTGATTCCTGCTAATCTCTCTCCACTGCAGAGGTGTTAACAGCACTCTCTTTTTTTTTTTTAATAACCTTGATGTTTCACTAGTCAAACTCTCCTTTCTTTTGCAATGTTGCTGTCTATTAGCCATCTGTGGTAATGTCTCTTCCATTTCACAGCCCTGCAGACTTTCTAGCTCTGTCTTAAAATCCTTAACTCAGGTCTAGTAATAACTCAGGTGTGGATGTGACTGACAGCGCAGTATTGGAGGCACGGTCAACATGCTCAACAAGGCTAGATTTTGTTTTACAAATCTGAAGGAGACCTACATTTAACTGTAATAACTGCAGGCCTAAAAATGCAATAACTTTGACTATTTTTTCCTAGCCTGTTGTGGGTTTTTTAAACTTGTATATAGTCTAGCAAATTAGTGCACATTCCAATGGCTTTATTTGTTTTTTGCTTTGATCTTAAACTGAATAATGTGCTAGCCCCCTAGCCTACTAGTAAAGCTTCTAGTTTCTCCTGAACAGGAATAAAATAAGTGCTGAGTTCCATTTCCACCCCCCCTTCTAAATCTTTTATCTGCCCAAGCTGATTCACAGCCAGCTCAGGGCAACCCTGGTCACGGAGCTTGGCTGGTTTGGCCCTGGTTGCGGGGTCCTGCCCAGAGAACCAGTATGGCTGGCACTTAGCTAGCTCCAACATGGGTACTCTCAACTGTCTGGGCTGGTGTGCTGAGCTGCAGCCACTTATCCCTAGTGTGGTGTGGCCATAGCTGCGGCTGTCACTGGGCGCAGTTCCAGTGGGTGCTGCCTGTGTTTACTGGCTGCTGTTCATGACAAAATCCAAACCTGGAGTGAAGCTGTGAATCATGAGCTGACCCAAGGGAACAAGGGTCCCACCCCTACCCTCAAGCAATGTCTTGCCCCCTGCATCCCTTTGTAAGGCACCTCTAACACTGTAATGCTCCCATTTGTCGCCCATTGTCCACACAGCTGCTAGTTCCTCCAATGTTTGTTGGACAGTGAATGGGAGTTGCTGCCATCTGAGCACGTTACACCGTTCTGTCCTCAAGAGAACACACACCATAGATGCGGTTGCATGTCATTTTGCTGACAGCTCCTCTCTGGCATGCGGTTCCTCTCTCCCAGGGCAAAAATAAAACCCCAGGAGATGCCCGTGTTTTACCTTTCTGATGCTTGCCAGCTGTCTCCTAAGCCAAGGGGATGGCTCTCACTCTTACCCATCCTACCTTGGCCTGTGAGTGCAGGGCACAGAGGAAGGGAGCTAAGTGAGTTGTGTGACATGCTGTCACTGCTGAGCAGAGTGTCACAACTGCTGCAGTTGCTACTTCTCCACCTGGGCCATGGGTTAGGGATCCTGAGCCCTGTGTGGAGCTTTGAGGACCCTGCCAGAGCATGAGGGGGGTCCTAGAAGCACCTGTTCGACACAGTTGAAACGCTGGAGACCTGCTACAGCTGCCTGCTTTCCTCACAGCACTCCTGAATCAGACCAGCAGCAATGGCATGGTTCCCAGGCTGTTTCATAGTTTGTAAGGTCGGAAGGGACCTGAGCAGATTATGAAGTCCGACCCCCTGCCATGGCAGAAAAGAGTACTGGGGTCAAACGACCCCAGCAAGGTGTTTATCTAACCTCCTCTTAAAGACCCCCAGGGTAGGAGCCAGCACCACTCCTCTTGGAAGTTGGTTCCAGATCCTAGCTGCCCTGACTTTGAAGTAGCGCCTCCTGATATCTAGCCTAAATCTACCCTCTGCCAGCTTGTGACCATTATTTCTTGTCACTCCTGGCAGTGCTCAGGGGAACAGGGACTCCCCCAGTGCCTGCTGGTCCCCCCTGACTAGTTTGTAAATGGCCACTAGATCCCCCTCAGCCTTCTCTTGTGGAGGCTGAACAGGTTCAGGTCCCTTAGCCTTTCCTTGTTGGGCCTGCCCTGCTGCCCCCTGATCACGCGAGTGGCCTCCTCTGGACCCTCTCCATGTTGTCCACATCCCTCCTGAAGTGCCACGCCCAGCACTGTACAAAACCAAAGCACTGTACATCTCCCAGTACTACAAAAACAAACACACTAGGAGCTGAGCAGAGAAGCCACATGTCCCCCAAACCACTCATACAACAAAGAGAAGCCGAGGGAAAAGACCTGGCCACCCCCATCCACTGTGGTCCCCACAGGCTGTGAGCAAGGTGCCAGTGTCCTGAGTCCTGCTCCAGCAGGTCCCGCTGCCTCTGAGTGCTCAGCTGGGTTCACAGCCCCAGTGTAGGGAGCACATGACAGTTATGGCACCAACCAGCCCAGCCAGAAGCCTGTTATCCAGAGCCTGTGCTAAGGTGTTGTACAGGGACCGGTGTGACCAATGCAAGGAACATTCTGCCCCTGCTTTGGGAACTGGTAGGACTCCAGGCTTCATGTCTGGCCTGCTGGTAAAGTCAGCCCAGCTCACCCGTTGTCTTCCTCCTGGTCCCACAACACGGCCGCAGGCTTTTCTTGAGCTTTAAGTGCTTCCCGAGGAGGCAGCTGTGCTGTGACTGACTGTCTCATGAAGGGTTCTTTACACCCCCTTTCCCATGTGTGTGGCAGGGAGGAGCGAATCAGGAGAGAAGAGGAAGAGCTGGAGAAGCAGAAGTTGCAAGGGGCCATCAGCCAAGCCAAGCTGATGGAGGACTTCATGAAGGAGAAGGAGAAGGAGGTCCTTCAGCTACAGGTGAAGGCTAGAGGCTGAGCACAGGCCTAAGGGGACTATGGGGCCTCGAGGTATAATGCATTGTCCCCTTGTGGCCTGAGGTGGGGCTGAAAGCGTGGCCACTATTGGGCTTCTCTGGAGAAGGGGCCTGCATGGCTTTGAGGAGTGCCTCTGGCCTTCCTAGCTGCCACCACACTGCCAGCGTCAGTAGGCCATGCCGCGTGGGGCAGGCTGGGGAATAGCTGCAGGTGGCAACCAGGGAAGCTTCATGTCTCTGAGGTGCCCCCAGCTCTTGCCCATGTGGTGAAATGGCATCTTCACTGCAGCCCCTCAGGCTCTGCCCTCCTGAAGAGCCATAGAGTAGCCACTTTGGGCACCCTGCACTAGGGCCCTGGAAGCAGCAGTCCTGTGGGCAGCACTGGGGTGGGCTGGAGTCCCCTGGCCACTGGAATGCCCAAGAGAGAAGCCCTGGATGATGCCAGTGTCCATTATGGCAACCCTGTGGGGTGAGGGCAAGCAGAGCATGCTATGGCAAGCAGGTCCTGCTCAAACAGGAGCCCTTCTGCTTTGCATGGCACAAATACCCCCATGCTCAGAGTTGTTGCATCTTCTCCTCTGCTCACAGGAGGAAGCCCGAACCTTCATCACCCCTGAGAACCTGGATGAGCGGATCGAGCAGTGCCTGGACAACCCCCAAAACTACAATTTTGCCATTGACAAAGAGCAGCGCATCATCAGGCGCACTAGCCTGTCCTAGGAGTGCCACCTCCACCTCGGCCTGTTTGGGCAGTGCAGTGGCAGGCTGCCCAACAGTTTCTGTCCAGGTGTTGAGCTCATGGAAGCGGGGGGGCTTCCTGCCCTGGGGACACAGATAAGCCAGGGGATTCTCATTTGAACAAATGGCCTTTGGTGGCCACATGTGGTTCCTGTCCTGAAATGGTCTCACCTACTGGCCGGATCATGGCCCTTCCCTTCAGCACTAATTGCTCATATCTGGGAAATAAAGGGATGCGTTTTGTATGGTGCTGGGTCCTTCCTTCCCTAGGCTTCTCCCTAGGGCCTTTGCAACCTCTGTCCCTGCAGGGTCTCCATGCTCTGCCCATTTGGATTATTCTTGGCATAGTATTCCATGGGGTTGTGACCCGTTTGGCTTTTCCATCCGTGGACGGCAGGGGTGGGGGTGTCTGCCGCCTGCCTCTTGTGCCCAGAGATCTCAAGAGTCAGGGGAGCTGTGAACTGGTAACAGCTGGAATTCCTGTCTCAAGCGATTTCCTTCTGGTCTTACTGCTGTCTCCCCTTGTGCACTTCTCTACTGGAACTGGAGTCAAGGCTGAGAGCAGAGGTTGTTCCCCACCTGGGAACTCTTGTAGTTTTCAAGGAGAAAAGGGAAGAAACCCTGAGAACTGGGGCAAGTCATGTCCAGATTGAACTGTCTAAGAGAAGCCCTGATACTTGCCCTTGTGGAAATGCACAGCTGAAACCCCAGGTGGCCACAGTGGGGTAGAGCTTGGGCAGGAGCGCTGTCATGCTCTGCCTCCCCTCTCCTCCATCCCTGCCTCATGCTATGCTGGTGGCCCTCAGGCTCTCCTGTGTGTTTCTCCTCAGTGTGTGACCCTGGAGCCATTGGCAGTGACCCAGCCCATTGCTTACAGCCTGCTGCTCTAATCCCTTCTGACTGCTCTCCAGTTCCTTTGGGCCTTGTGTGCTTGCTCTCCTGACTTGTGGATCCCGGATGAACTTGTGCATGATAGAGTCTCCTCTTTGATGCATGGATGTAGTCTGGGGGCACAGAGCTCTTGCTTGGGGTCCTGCAGTTCAGTCCATCCTGTGTCTCTGCTTGGGGTTGAGTGGCAGCTTGTAAGAGAGGGAGGCTTGTCCTGCACTCCTCCTCCTGGGCAAATGTGGAAAGGCACCAGGAGTTCAGGATTGGCAATATTTTTGGGCAGAGTGCCAAAAACACCTGCAGTCTTGATTTGTAAGATGTTGGGGGAGCCACAAGGGTCCTGATCCTTGTGGTAGCACAGCCCCAGCCCCTTCCCTGCCATCTGCCGTGAGGCACGTGTGCTCTGGCACCCATGCTGGGGGTCACCTACCCCTGGTTTAAAGCTTCTGCTATATCTCACTTGGGGTTTAGAGTCCTACTCCTGTAGCACCTGACAGAACTGTTGCTCCCCAGACCCAGGGTTTGGAGGATTTACTGGTCAGTTGTGCATTTCCTGCCTATCAGTAGTCCTTTAATCTGATGACTTTATCCTAGCCCTTTCTGGTGTGACTAGTGGGCACTCTGTCCCCAACCTGCACTGCAGCATGGAATCAACCCCTCCCTTGTACCTGGCGCTAGATCCTTCCTACATCCCTCAGGTTGTGTGTTAACAGGCTGAGCTTAGTAGTCAGGGATGCTGCCTCTGAAGTGCTCTGCTAATTCTTGCTGAGGTGTATCGTTTTAACCTGCTTTTCTCATATCCTAGTTGGCATTTGGCTGTAGTGAGGTCTTGCTGCCCTCTGCCCTGAAACAGTTCATGGGAAGACACAGGACCTATGAACTTTTGAGCAGGAAAGAAATGGAAACATTTAATTGTGACAGTGACTGATCCACTTGGATTTGATTTGCGTATTGTCATATTCAGATTAATTTTGACTAGGACCAGCCAAGACCAAGCTAAAGCTTCTTGATGCCATCACAGTCAAACTCAGTGAAGTTCTTGTGGGTGGGAGTCTGGGTCCAGGTGGGTTTGTTCTGACCTGGAGCAGAACTCTTCCCTCACATGTCAGAATTGCCTGTGAAAGGAGCTAGCCAGATCCCAGCGTGACCCACGGTTTGGAGCAGTGTGAGTGACTGGGGGCTGTGGGTGGATCCCCAAATTAGGGGTCTTACGTGGTCACCTCAGCTGTCCCTTTCCCACCCCTTTGCAGCCTCTACTGACATTGAGGCCTTTGCCTTTAGACATGGATGCTGCCAATAGGTGCTCAGGTTCAGAGCAGTGACCTCATGTCCCTCACTCATCCCTTTCTCTGCTCGGAGCTGCCTTTTTTTCCTCCTTCCATCCTATGCTTGGCACCTGGGAACTAATGGGAAGAGCATTGGCTGCCAGCGCCTTGCTCTTACCTCCTGCAGGGCCCCACATCCTCCCAGTTCATAGGGTGCCATTTCAGGTCCATGACTTGTGCCAGCCCTGCCTTCAGCTTCTGGATAAACCCCAGGCTGGTCCTCCACTAGTGGATGCTGTGTCAGTCCTTCTCATCGGTGCTGTTCTTCAAAGCAGTCTCCCCAGACCAGAGGCACTGGTCTCAGCTGGGGAGGCTGCAGAGCAAAGCAAAGCTGAGTGTGTTGCAAAGCTGGGAAAGAACGAGTGAGCCAGAGGACCCTTCAGTACAGGTTTATTTGTATTTGGAGGTGTCCCAGCTGCCGTGGGAAGTGCTGTCTTGGTCTTGCGCAGGGGTGGGTCTGGCACCTGATGTCGTCTAGGAGAACATGGAGGCTTGGTCGCAAGATGAGTCCATCATGCATCCCTCTGCAGGGGAACACGGGCAGGTGAAGGCAAGCAGAGCTTGAGCTGTGCCTGTGCCCCGTACCCACCCCCCCATGGTTGTGCACAACGGATCTGGATAATACCCTATCCAAGGCAATGGTGATTTGTGGCTTCACCTAGCTGAGGCCTGAGCTTAGGTGGATGTGGCACCTTTCCAGCGGGGGTTCAGTAAAATGCTGTGCTGGGTGGAACTGGTGAGCTGCAAAGCCTGGAGCTGACCAGCCACCACTCCTGTTTGTAGCCACTTTCTGCTGTGGACCTGGCTTAAGTCTTGGACTTGCTAACACTGACCTTCTAGCTCTGGACAAGCCAGCTCTGATCTGTCTCCTCTGCAGTCTGCTGTGTGGACCTGTGCTGGCAGTGAGATAACCATGCTGCTCTGCTAGACAGCCCCTTCCCTCCAACCTGTGCATCTCCAAGCAACCTGGTCATCAGTTTTAGCCTTCTCTGTAAGTGGGGCGGGGTCTAATTCTTGATGGGGAAACTGAGGCACCATGCAGTTAAGCAACTGGCCTAAAGGGATTGTAGCTGGATGCTTGTTTCTGGAGTCTCAGTCCTGTATTGAGCTCGGAGGCTGTTGCTCCTCGAGCTAAGATTATGGGGGAGCCTTAAAGTGGGTGATGCTGGGTAAAGGGTGGGGTGGGGAGGCACAAAGCAGTAACGGGAAGCTCCAGTTGTAGCGGAGCTGGGGAGCTCTCACCGTAGCTGCAGCAGATCCCCTCAGCTGCACAGGTCCCGCCGGTGTTGCCGCACGGCTTGCGGCCAGACTCGCAGGGTGTGGGCAGGTAGTTCTCCTCCTGGCATCTCAAGGTCTCTGAGGTCCCAAAGTAGCAGCCCAGTTCTTGGCCGCAGCAGATGCTGGGGCCAAAGCAGTGGCCTTTGTTCCTCGGTCCACAAGGCAGGCACTGTTCAGAGAGAGAGACCCAGGGGCCAGTTAGCTGGGGGAAGGCTGCGGCTCCTTATGCTGGGGGTCTGATTGGAGGTTGTGGAAAAGCTGTTGCTGAAGCTAGTGCACTATGGAACGAGTCTGGAGGCGGGAAAGCCATGAACTCGGCTGCCTGGAAGGATTGGGAAGGTGGCTGTGGGGTGGCAGAGCCTGACTCATTAAATGACTGGACCCAGAGCACCTCATAGGTGACACCTCCAGGGAGTGAACCCCCTTGGACTTATGCCTTTAGGAAGAAGGGAGCCAAACACAGTTGGGGCATTGCGGGGTAGGTAATCATTTGGAGGGAAGGAGCTGTTTGGAAGTGGAGTGGGATTGCTGGGGTTCCTGTAGCAGCTGAGACCCTTCTGAACGGTCAGAAGTCACCTGGCTGGACCTCCGTCATGCCAGCGGCTCTGACCCCTGGGCAGTGTGTGCTGCACTGCCCAGCCTGCTGTTCTGCATTTCTTAAGCACAAAGTTTAATTGCTCAAGTTGCTGTCCTGGCTCCTGTTCTATCAGGACCTCAAGTGTGCGTCCAACTCAAGGAACGAATCCAGACAGCTGCGGGTTCAACCTGAAGCTCGACACCAGGAGCAGCGAGTCCTGCAGCCAATCCCTAGTTCAGGTTCTGCTGAAAGCTGCAGGACTGCACGTCACCGCGAGGGTAATGCTCCCTGCTGCCTTCCCCATGCATGCGGATTAGATCTGGGCTTTACGTGGGTAGGCAAGAGGGCAACCAGGAGAAGGGGTATGCTGTTCTCCAGAGTGCTTCAGTGATGCCATCCTCCAGCTTTGTGTTGTCTGCAAACTGGATGCAAAATCATTCAGTGGGCCCAGCCCAGCCCTCCTGTGAGACCTCCCACCTGCCTGAGGTGTGACCCTTGGCTGGCAGATAGTCAGTTTTACCGAGCTAGTCTGGCCCAGGCTTTGTGGCTGTCTGGGGACCATACTGGGCCCCATGTCTGCTGGTGCTGCACCCCTGGAGCATCCCAGCTGGCCACTTTTGCTCCCTGGCTGTGTTTTGCAGGTGTCAGTGCTGGATGGCATCAGCGCCCAAGGGGTAAACTTCTCATTGCAGCACGAGCCTAGAAGCTCCTGGCAGTGGCAACTGGGGAAAACCCTAGCTCCAGACTGCAGTATGCTTTCTCCTGAGAACTTAGCTACTAGGGTCTAGCAGGCCTCAAATGAACATATGCAAACTCGGATCCCTTCCCCACCCTGCCTCTCCCCAGAGGTTTAAAGCATGGCCACATTTGGATGGTTTTCATAAGGGACCCTGACAAGTTGTCTGCTGTCGAATTTCAAGCCCTCCCTCATCTAAAGCAGGAAGGGGTACGAGCTTCTAGCTGGCACCGTTGCAGGGAGTTTTAACGTGGGCAAACCAGTGCTTCATTTTTCTGTGGGAAGAGTGGCCTCTCCCAATGGAAACTGAAAAACAGCCAGCAGAAGGCACCCCACGGAGAGCTGGTTAGAGCTTTACAGTGTGGTAAGGACTGGAGAGCTGTGCTTTACTCTGGCGAGTGCCAGGCATCCCATCCTCAGTGGTGCTGCCTATGCCACAATAGGCCATAGGATCATAGGAAAGTAGGGACCTCACGAGGTCATCTCATCCAGCCCCATGCTCAAGGCAGGTTCACCCCTGACTAGGCTGTCCCGGCTGAGTTTGTCTAATCTGATTTTAAATCTTTCCAAGGATGGAGATGCCACAACCTCTCTGGGCAACCTGTTCAAGGCTTGACTGCCCTCATCCTCCTCATCTCCAGCCTAGATTTGCTCGGCTGCAACTTGAGGCCATTGCTCCTAGTCCTGTCCTGTCCAGAGAAAAACTTATCTCCATGGTCTTTATAACTGCCCTTCAGGTATTTGAAAACTGGTATCAAATCCCCCCTCAGTCTTCTGTTCTCCAGACTAAATAACCCTGGGTTTTTTTTTCCAGCCTTGCAAGCCATATAAGATGTCATAGCATCTCCTGTTCCCTGTCGCTTCAGATTTCTGCTGGCCATGGGTACAGCACTGCTCATCATGACTGGGATTACAGTAAAATGCAGCCCTGCAGTTCAAGACGCTGAGCCCTGCCCTGCCCTGCCCTGAATGGACCAGGCAGGCTCAGCAAATGCTCTGATCCTTGTTTAGCAGACCAGGGGCCTCAGCACCTGCTCCACGGTGCATCCACCCTCTGTCTGCCTTAGCTGCTCTGGTTGTGCCTTCCCTGATGGTGTGATGCTTTTTCCAGCTGAATGGGGACCCTGACAGCTACAGGAAGCTTTTTCCAGCAGATATGCACTGGAGTCTCTGGTTCCTTTGCTGGCTTAACACAGGCAGGGTGAGAGGCAGGTAAATTGTAGGCAAATGCAATACTTCTGGCAGAAGCTTTACAAAAGCCGCCACACCACAGCAGAGCAGGCAGTATCAGTGAGCCCCAGGGTCTAGGCTGCTGGTATTGCCCAGCCTCGAAGGCCTGGAAGTGCCTCGAGGTCAGACAGCTACTTCACACGCAGTGGGCATGGGCTGCTGGTCATCACCGTTGTAGACTAAAGCTGCCTGGGCTGCAATGGCTTGAAACCCCTGCTTTCATGCCATGCACAGGATCTTGCTGGTGTGGTGTAGGAGCAGCCCGTCCTGCTTCTGCGGGCTCCCCATTGACCATCTTGTGTTGCACCTCAAGACAGAAGGAGCCCAAATTGTGGGGTAAAAGGAATACCCTTTAAGAGCCAGCTTTACCACGGGGGTTGTCAAGCTCTGGTGCGTAAAGATCTCCCTTGTCTGTGAAACTGGTCTCATAAATGCTACTCCCTCCCCGCTGTGCCTCTTGCCTATGCCCTCATGGCTGCCACCACCTTGGGTGATGCTACCGCGGCCCAGCCTGGAGGCGAGCCCGCCACCCTCACCTTTCTGATGTCCATGTCCAGGACGGACCGCTTCCCTCCGATGGGGCAGTTCTGGATGTAGCAAGCCGATGAGAGGGCCAGGAGGCAAAGCGCGCAGACGGCCAGAGCGCTGTGGGCCATGGGAGCGGCGGCAGGTTCTGCTTTGCTCAGGCGGCGACCCAGGGATTGTCGTCCTCGCTGCTCGAGAGTTGCTGGTATATATGGGCCTGGCTGCCGGTGCCGAGCCACGCCACCTCCCTCGTCATTCATTTCCCTTAAGGAAGACAAGGCATTGCTGGCCACACCACCTGCCCCTGCTAATCAGCCGGGGTCGAGGATGTGAGGTCAGCCGGGGTTGAGTCATCTTCTCCTTGGCACTTGCTCCCAACGCGGGGAGAGATGCATCACCTGCGCCCAAGCGGCAGGTTGAGTTCTCAGGGGTGATGGTTTCCCTGCTGTTCTCCGCAGAAGATCATCTACTGTCTCAAGTCCCCAGAAAGCCTTTCAACCGAGGGGCCTCACTGCTCGATCAAGAGGCAGCTGTTCACTACATCCGGGGTAGAGAACGGCAGCTGTGGGTGGAGGAGCATGGCGATGGCCTGACGCATTAGATGACTTGACCCAGAGCACCTCATAGAGGAGCTCTGATAGACCAGGAGGCCCCGGCTTGTGGCCCATGCTTTGCACTGGGCCTGGCTTTCCTATGTTGTCCTCTGTTAAAAGCCTGATGCTGGGGCACGTGGCCCAGTGGACTTAGGAGCTGGGGGTAAGTGGAGGTGTTCAGGTGATGCAGAAGCTCCCAGGTTCATGACGAAAGTGTGATCAGTGCTTGCCTGGCACCCCTGACCCTCGTGGGTCAGCGTGTTCTGGAGGAAGATTACCTGGCACCAAGCCACCCAGCCCCTTCTGCAGGTCTCTTGCCCATCTCCTGCCCTTGTCCTCCAGCTCTGCTTGGATTTAGAGCTGCCAGGACCTGAGGCGGCCAGGGACAGTGCCACGTTCAAGGCGTCTGCGTGATCCTGCAGCCCCGTGGTTGCACCTTGCCAGTGGGCTGAGGTCCTTGGAGTGACGCTGAGTTCCTGTGATGGGGCCTCCTTACATGCCCATCTGCAGCCTGTAGCCATCCAAGGGAGTCACTGTGGCCATGCTCAGAAGATCAGCAACCGAGAGGAGCACGCAGGTGCCTCCATAAGGGTCTGTGATATTAGTTATTTGTGGTCCGGGGCGCTGCCACTGGGGGCTCACATCAGACCCTGCAGAAGGGAGTGTAGAGGTCATGTCCCGAGGGAGAGAGGGCTTGCACTGAGATCAGAGGAGATGGACCAGGCAGGGCATTCAAGGGTTGTGAAACCTAGGGTGGGGAGCGTGGGTCTTTCCTGGGAAGAGCATGTGGAGCCACTCTGTGTCCAGCTCTGTGGCCCTTCAGGTGAAAGATGCAGAGGAGGAGGGGGCCGGAGGTGCAAGGCCTGAGTTCAGGTCCTTGCTTTCTGCAGGACCTTGGTAAGATGTGGCCTCCTTCCCAAGACCCCTGTAGCCTAATTAGTGCCTCAGCAGAGGTAGGTGCCCAGCCCGCAGGCAGCCGAGGGAATAGGGGGCACCTTCAGCAAGCTGGGGCAAAATGGAGGGCAAAGGAGTGGGATTTTGGCTGAGCTGCTCAGGGAGCTGGTGCCTGCCTGGCCAGAGAGGCAAGGCTTGAGCTCTGCCCAGCCACGACAGACCCAGGAACCCGCATCCCCCTGCAAAAGACTTGGGTTCAAGTCCTTTTTCTGTCTAAACCAGAGCAGGGACTTGACCTCTTATCACAGGGCTGCCTCTTTGTGCACCAGCCACCAATGCATAGTTTATGCTACCGAGGGGAGACACCCACCTTGGGGCTGGGGCCCGTCCTTGGGACAGAAGAATTCAAGTCCTTGCACTTGTCCATCTCACGTATGCAGTCATCTGAGTATGCTTGATGGGAGAGGCCTGTGTGGCGAGTCCTGCTTAGGCCCCTGGGTGTGAGCTCTGGGCAGCGCTGGGTTTTGGGGCAATATCAGCATTTGGTCGGCTTTGTGCTGGTAGAAATGTGTGCGCCCATGGGGCTCGACTGACACTGCAGGGTGGATCTGGGGGGAGCAGCAGTGTCCTAATGGGGGGCACAGGCGGCTGCTTTGCCTCTCCTGCCACCACCGTACCTCACAGGATCTGCGGCCTCGGGACTGGCGTAGTGCTCGCAAAACACGCTCCTGCAGGAGATCCTGGTTGCAGGGTCTTGCTTTTCCTCTCGGAGTCAGACCCATCACCAACCACATTTGGGGTCAGGAGGGATTTGGTCAGACTGGCATGATTTGTAGGTGGTTTCTGCAGTGGGGGACACTTTTCCTAGGATCCTCTGAGCAGCTGCTTCTCCATCATGCCAGGGGCAGGGCATTGGCCATGACCATCTGCTTTTCCCTGTGCCACATGACAAGGTGTTTTCGGTGCTTCGGGTTATGTGCCTTGTAGCGGCGGGTGAGGGTTGGAGGTGGCAATGTTGGGAGGTTCCCTGGGGGCACTGTAAACTGGGCTCAGTGGCTTGGGAAGCCCCTTTCCAGTGCTGTTCTTAATTATACAGACCCCATAGCTAGAGGAGCAATTGGAGAAGGTGCGGGCTGAGCAGACTGAGCCCCATCTTGCCCAGGAGAGGTGGGTTGGCTGAGTAGCTTTGGGGGGCGTTAGCCCTGCCTCTGCCCATGCTGCAGCTAGTGGAGCCTGGTCCGAAGCCTACCACGAGACGGTTTGTTTTCCCCAAGGGACACGGGCAAGGGCTGGCTTTGTATGGCAGCGCTTGGGGTTTGTGCCAGAGGCAGGAGGAGGGGAGAAGACGCGGTGCCAGTGGTTAATGAGCCAGGCAGACGCACGGCACAATCAGTCAGGGACTCTGTTCACCTCCACCTCTCACCTTCATTAACACAATTAGCAGCTCCCAGCTCACATCAACTCCTTCGGCGTGGACTGTGCCCTGAAATCCTTATGTTAATGGAGTCTAATCTACCCTCCCCGCAGCCCTTGGCCTGCTTAATTGGTGAAGCCATTGGCCCGGACACTTAACGGTTGTGTAATTGGTAGCATTTGTCCTCCTCGTGGTTTTGCCTTGTGATTTGCCACTTATCAAGAGCGCGACAGACAATAGCAGGGGTCAGAGAGGCTCTGTCTCCTCTGTCTTCCATGTCTGAGCGGGGTCAGGCAGCCAGCGGGGAGGAGCGAGTCCTTGCTTACACCATTGATTGGGGGAAAAAGGACTCGGGGGTGTCTGCTCATAGCCTGGGAGGGTCCTGGTGCCATCTGCGCTGTGGCTGCAAGGCCAGCGTCTCGCCAATACTGGTACAAGACCCAGGTGGAGGGGGCTCCCCTGCATCCCTCTGCCCTGATACTAATTTCTTAGTGGGATGAAACAAGAGGCATCGTGATGGTAATAGCTCGAGGGGCAAATCTGGTCCACTCCAGTTGCCCCGGCTGGGGTGCAGCCTGAGAACAGCATATGTCCTATGAGCTGGCATCACCCCGGGGTTGCTTCTCCCCCGGGGAGCTCCAAGCACGGTGCAAACTTCACCAAAACCTTGTCGGAGGGCAGCAGATAATACAGTGTCCAAAGGGATGGGCCTGGGGGGGATCTCCATGCAAACCTCTCCTCTGCTACTGAATTTCTGTGAGATGCTGCAGGGCGAGAGGCACAAAAGGAAGGAGACGCTTGCTTGAATTCAGCACTAGGACTCTCAAACCCTCTGGTCAGCTGAAGGTGCCCAAGTTTGCACCAGGAAAGTCCCCAAGGCCTTGGTGTTTTTTCTCTGGGCTTACGCACAGCCACTCAAATCCACATGAGCACCAAGGCCACCCCCGGGGCCTGATCCACTAGGCATCCTCAGATCGTGCCCCTTCCCCAGCATCCTAGTGGTCGGAGCCCAGCTGGGAGGGAGAAAAGACCCAAGTTCACATCCCTCCTCGTGGCTGATTTGGAGCTGTGATTTGAACCCGGGGCTGCCCCATCTCCTGAGCTGGGATGCTGTCGGTGAAGCTGGTCTGCTTTGCATCAATGGGAAGTGCTCTAACCACTACACTAGGCAGTCAAGCTCCCTCACCCCCTGGCTGCATGAGTATGCCACCCTGAAATGCGAAGCTTTGACGAAGGGAGACTGGCTGAGCTTGAGGGACGCCAGGTTTGCAAGTGGAGGTCCTACCTCTTGCTCCACCTCCCTTGGAGAGCTGCCTCCTACCCAGGAGTTGATAAATAGGTGCTGCCCAAGCTTGGTGGTAGATGCTGCTGGGCACTTGCCTCCAGGCTTCTCTGCTAACATGAAACCGCCGCTGATGGTAAGCATGCTCCTTGATACTGAGGTTTTTAAGACCTGGGTAGACAAAGCCTTGGCTGGGATGATGTAGTTGGGGCTGGTCCTGCTTTGAGTCAGGGGCTGGACTCGCTGTGACCTCCATGGTCCCTTCCAGCCCTCACTGCTTATGATTCCTTCTCTCTCTCTCTCTCGTTTGAGTCTGCCGGAGACGGGCTTGTTGCATCAACACCACCATAACTTCAGCCGGTGGGATTGGACCCCCTTGAGGGCACTGCTGCTGGGGTGAAAATGGGGGCAGGGAAAGGTGAGGAGATGAGAAGCAGCTCTCAAATGGAGGTACCTTTTAATTATGGTGGCCCCAGGACTTTGACCCCTTGGCACTGGGCTTGACGAGGGAATGAGCTGCAGAAAACGCTTGCCTGGAAAGCAGAAAGCAGGTGGGGAGGAAGGTCCAGGTAGAGCCTCCTCTCTCTCATTGAACCTGGGTGCTTTGCTTTGCTTTTTTGTTTGTTTTTTTTACTTTGGTGACTAGAAAATCTGCTGGGGGAGAAGATGCAGTTTGGGAACATCTGAAACTCGGTGAACTTGGGATGACTTGGGTGGCAAAGCTGTGCCGGAAACAGTGGGGAGGTTGAAAAGCTCCATTGTGGAACAACGTACCGGCCTTGTTGTTTGGAAGTGGCTTTTTTCATTTTCTTTTGAACTTCGCAGACTTTTTCTAAAAGGAGGGAGCTCCATTGTCCAAAAACAGTGCAGGACTCTTGGGCCGGGGTCAGTGAAAAGATCCCGTCCTTCCCTCCCTCCTTCTCCCCTGGCCTGGTCACCAAACCGAACCGATCTGCTTTGTGCACAACTCTGCTTTTTATAATTGGCCGGTTGTTTCCAGCTAACGAGCCTGTGGGGTTCCCTGCCAATTAAGCACCGTATGTTTAATTCCAAGATTGCTTTTAACCCATTGTACAAGTATTTTGGTGACCCCAGGCCCTGTATGAGGTCGGATCGCCTCTGCCCTGCTCTCAGTGGTTGTTAACTCAAGGACCCAGAGCCCTGGCGTGAGACAGGGGAGCTCCTGCACCCGCCTCGATGCTGGGCGCTGGCCTCATGCTGCTGTAAATGTGGATTAATGCACGAGGCTCCGCGCGGCCCATGCTGACCCCAGGTGTTACTGGGATCTCCTAGTGCCCCGTGGTGGGGCTTGGTGCTGTACAAACAGGATGGGGGCTGAGACGGTCTCTCTCTGCCTCCCAAGAGAGGCTGGAGGCTTTGGGCTGGGGAACCAGGGTCAGGGATTTAAAGGCGTTCGAGTGCTTGAAGACGCGGACTGGCCTCGAGGAAGACTTGAACGAACACCTGGCCCTTGACTTAAAAGAGCGTCGGACTGGGGCTTTGCAGCGTGGTCAGCTGGGAGGGAAAGGCCCCATCCGGCCTGGGCAGAGCACACGCAGCTCTAGTGAGAGCCCCTCTCTTGTAAATCTGAAGTACCTTGAACCATCGGATCCCACCTCACCTGCCCCAAGTGGTTCCCCCCTGGCTTTTTACTGAGGCTTTTGGGTGAGCATCTTGCTGCCAGCCCATGCAGGGCAGGTTTGCTGTGCCCATAAGGAGTGCGGTGTGTACATGTGCTTGTGCACGTGAGCGTGTGCATGTGTGTGTGTCCATGGGACCTTCTGTAGATCATAAGGAGTGCAATGTGTGTGTGTGTGTGTGTGTGTGTGTGTGTGTGTGTGTGTGTGTGTCCACGTGTACAGGAGACCACCTGTAGATCATAAGGCATGCAGTGTGTGTGTCCACGTGTGCATAGGTGTGAATCCTCGTGGGACCTTCTGTAGATCACCAGCAGGTGACAAGGCTCCCCGGAGCCCAGCAGCCGCCTCTGCATACCAGCAGGGCTCAGACCTGGGAGGAGTTTGGACGTTGCGATGCAGAAAGAAAGCACAGGCCAGGGAGATGGGCCAAGGGGCACTTCTGGGGGCAGGGATGGCTGGAAGGGGCAGCTCTTGGGAAGGGGGCGAGGGAGAACAGAGGTGCTCGGCGGAGCAAGTCGGGGTGGGAGGGGCAGTGGAGAGGCTGCGAAGGGATCTGGGCGTTGGGGTGAGGTGGCATTGCCCAGCGAGGAGGGACGTTCAGCGAGTAGTCCATGAGCATCTGTGCACTCATCAGAGCTCCTAGAAACGGGTTCTCCTGGTGCCTCTGGGCTCGACCTGGCACCGCGGGGCTCGAGGGCCCCCTCCCTGTGTCCGCAGGTGTGCTCCAAGCCCGGAGGTGCTCTGGCATGGGACGTCCCTCTGAGCCCTTGCTCTCCATCGGGTTTGGAAGTGGGTCCTGCGAACTAACTTGGAAAGGTCGCTGGGGTGGATTGAAGCAGGGATGGTGGGGATGGGCAAGCTCCTTCACACCAGCACCCTACCGCGGTGGTGCAGACAAGCCCCTGGGGTCCTTTGTCATTTCCCAGACCTCCTCAAAAGGTAAAATCAAAGTGGGAGGCTCGGTCTAGAAGGTGAAAGGTTGACCAGAGTCTAGTGGTCCTCTTGGCTAGTGTGGCTCGGGCCCGCCAGCATCTGCACCTGACAGCACAAGGGGTAGATGTGGTTGGTATCACATCTGCCTGCCCTTGAACCACCAGCCTGCATGGCCAGGTGCCCACGTTGCCTTTGGCTCCAGCTCACCTCTGCTGGCTGTTGTCCACTTATATGACCTTGCAGAGCTGGGATCAGCTGCTCCCGTCCATGTGCTGAGATGCTAAGGGCAGACGGGTCCCAGCGGTGGCTGACTCTTGCACAGGGTGACGGCGCCTTGTCCCCATCTGGGCACTGTCTCTCCCAGAGACTTTCCCTCTGCCTGAAGAAGGGCGTCTGTGCCCGAAAGCTTGCAAAGAACATTTTTTCCGACTATTTAGTTGGTCTAATAAATAATATCACATCTACCCAAAGTGCCTCATCTGCCCCTCTCTCCCAGAGCTGCACGAGGACTGGATCCAAGGCTTGATGCCTTCCAAGGGCTTCCCCACAGCCCTGTCCCAGCTGGGGCATCCAGCATCAAGGAGAGGCTGTGGTTGTGATCAGAAGCCCCTGGAAACACAACCGAAGCCCTGCAGTCTGGCTCTTCCCAACTCTGCCTCAGTTTCCCCATCTGCACAGTGGGGCTAGTTACCATAGCCTGTTATATACCAATGCACCTTTCTTTTCTGCCCCAAATTCAGCTCCTGGAAATTGGGTTGCACGTTATAAGCGAGGAAATGTGGTAACAGCTATTTCTGCCTCTGCCGGGGGTCCCGGGCTGCTGGCTGTGGGTGCTTTTTCTTTCTGCAGAAAAAGGTCTCTTTTCTTCATTCTGCTTTTCAAAAACAGGATGCGGATCCTATGGGGCGGGACGTTGTGTGTGGGGAAATATGGTACCCTGGCTGCCTGGGACACCTTAGGGACAAGGAGTCAGGGGAAGAAAAGCTGCTGGCTGAGCAGGGGCAGAGCTGGGATGAGCATATTTGGTTTTTAAGGCTCAGGGAATATCATGGTGGATGGAGTCATGGCCCCGAACCTGCAGCCAACAAGGTCCCAAGCAAGCCCTGATCTCCCCCTCAGACAGAGCCGGCCCCACACAGGATCCCGGGATAGGAGGGACCTCAGGGCTCATCCAGCCAAGCCCTGCCCTGATGCTCCAAACCCATCCCGGTCACCTCCAAGCCCGGGCAGCGTGTCCCAGGTCCTCTTGCTCGCAGGGTCAGGAAGGTCTTTCTGAGCTGCTGCTTGCACGGGCCGCAGCTTCGGCATTGGCGCCCTTGATTTTGAGGGTTTAGCTTCTGGGAGGCTTGGGGCAGTCTCAGGATCCTGCGCCTGGTTTATGGCAGGGTCCAGCATGCATGGCTAGCGCCCCTCTGAGCAGCCCCGTTCAGGGGTGCATCTCTGGGTGATTTCCTTCTCTGGGTTTGGTGCTGTCAGGCTGGGCTGAGGCTGGGTCAAGCCTCCTTTTCCCCTCCGCTGCGGGGCCAGGTGGGGTGACATTAAGTCCCCTTCTGCCCTGCAGGTCCAGGCTGCCCCCTGCCTCCCTGCAAAATGCCAGCTCTTTGCTTTCACTCGCTCTTTGACTACGGAAAAATCCTAGAGCAATTCTTCTGTTGCGAAGGACCCAGAGAGACCATGGCGGGGCGGCGTGTATCACTCGCTCCAGGTTCCTCTTTGAAATCTCAGGAATCATGAGAGGTGTTTGCGCACTTAAGTGTGCTATCGTTGTGCGGCACCCTTGGAAAGATCTCAAGGCACCCCAAGGTGCACCCGGAGAATCGCTGCCCACGTGCTGGCGTTTCTGAGCATGCTGATGGGATCTCCTGCATCATGGGACCCTGTATCCTTGTGTATTGCTGTATTTGAACAGCACAGTTATGCTAGGTGCTTTCCACCAAAACTTTCCAGGCGTGTCTTCCTGCATGTAACAAAGGCACAGAGAAAGAGCCACTAACGAGTTTCTGGGCCTTGATAGTGTAAAATGTGTAACGTGTCTTGGGCAGGGGGGAAAACCCTGTTGTGAGCCAGGGGCACCAGTGAGCTGAGAAGCCCCAGGCGAACCAGCCCAGACAGAAAGGGGGCCTGAAAATGAAAAAAAAAATTACAATTGGAAAAAGAAACAGTTTTAATATTGTGCATATACGGGACCGGTGCTGTTATCAATTGAGAACGAATTATTTAAAGACATCGATACCACGGATGTGATAAAGACTTTTGCAACCAAAAAATGCTGCAGTGGCGATGGGGGGGGCCGATACTAAAAGTTTGCCCGGGGCTGCCAGGACTTTCGGTACGGCGCTGGCCCCAGGCAGGGGAGAGCGTGGTGGAGACCCCAGGGAAAAGGAACAAGTCTTTCTCAGGGACCACGGGGGAGGCGGCATGGTGTTTCCAGCCCTTTGCCCAGCAACGCCTCTCCTACAGGAGCTGCAGCTTCGGGCCCAGACTGCAAGAAAGGAAGCAGGATGCACCGTCCGATGCGTTCGCTCCGGGCAGAAGTGTGGCAGGAAACTTGTGCCTTGAGCTTCCTCGTTCTGCTTCCTCTCTGCTGAGGGGCTGAATGGCTTCAGTTGTGACATTGGTGTCGTCCCAAGCAGACCTGGCTCGTGGCCTCCATCTCGGGCAGGCAGCATCGGGGTGGGAGTCAGAGGCGCGCGTGTGGCTGCAGGCTGAGGCCGGCCATCAGGGTGCAATGGCAAGTGCAAGTACTTGCCTTGCGTTTATCCCTGGGGGCTGGTGTGAGCAGGACCCTCGCTGGCTCTCAGCCCCGGGAGCTGGTTGCTCCATGGGAGATGTGTAGAGCTGCCCCCGCAACCCCCCGGCAGATTTGCCTTCCCCGAGACGACTTCCTGGGACTCGCAAGACTTGGGTTCAGCTCCTGGCTGTGCTGGAGCTGCAACGCGGCCTCGGTGCCGGTGTGCTGTGCCCTGTACCTGTATCAAACGCGGGGAGCCGTCCATGCCTGCATGGTGGGACCCTGCGTCCTTTGTGCAGTGCTGCATTACAGCCGCACGGCTACACTAAGGGCCTACCCGCTGACCTGGCAGGATGCCACCTCCACCCGAGGCCGTTTAAAGCAGAGGGACGTGGCAACTCTTTGGGGGTCTGCGTGGGGATGGCACAGGGGCTCTGTGGGCCCCCAGCTGAGCGAGGCTGGGAGGCCGAGCGCTAACGAGTCTGGGGGCTGCGCTGGCTGCAGAGCAACCGGCCTCCCGTCCAGGCCGCTCAGCAGTCGGTTTCCCGGGGCGGGGTTTACACCCTGCTTTTCAAAGCCAGCTTGCAGGACCCCAGGTGAATTGGACTCCCGCGGCCCAGGCCTCCAGGGCAAACGTCACAGCACAGAGCAGACGAGCGCAGTGCAGTAAAATATTTATTGGCCGTGTATTTACAAGGACCTCAAGGGCTTGTGCCCCTGCCCCCCTTGGGGGGCTGCGGACCCGACGCGCCCCCTTGGCTGTGTGAATGCTTCGCGACGTCGCCACCCTCCCTTCAGTAGACCTGGTGCTTGCCCTGCTGCTGCCGGTTGGCCAGGTGCATCAGCTTGAGCAGGAGGTCGCCGGCCGAGCCGTCCAGGAGGGTCAGGTTCTTCTCTGAGAGCTGCCGATTTTTGTCGCCGTCTTCGTCCAGGCAGACGGGATCCATGGCGCAGCTGTCTGCAGGAGCAGGGGAGGAAACCAAGACATCAGCACTGAAACGAGGCACCGGTCTCACAGGAGGGCTACGACGCAGCTCCCGCTGCAGCCAAAAACAAGCTCCTCCGCTCAAGCTCCAGCTGTGTCTCCCTTATTGACCAGGGCATCCCGCCCTGCCTGGATTTCTGTGCAACATGCACAGGCCACACGTGTTTTTAGGCAAACCGGTTATGCCCAGAGCTTAGGAGAAGGGACCGGGAGTCCTGAGCTTTGGGTCTGCCCTGTGCGAACTTGGGGACACCATGTCACTGCTCTGTGCCTCGGTTTCCCTTCCTCACAGGCAGCTGGACGCTGCCCTATGCCAACCAAAGCACCTGCCTCTCTCATCCTAGGCCTGGTGGTGCTCGTTGCTCTGACCTGCTCCCCTTCCTTGGGGAGCCGGGCTGAGGCCGAAGCCCCAGATTGAACCCCCCCCCCACCATCCTGCAGGACCAGGATGTGGCTGGATGGGGGGTGTGAAGTGTCCCAAGGGCTGAGACATCAACTTAGGCCATGGGTAACCTGGCTCAAATCCTTCCTCTGCCACAGACTCTCTGAATGACCTTGGTCACCTCCCTTAGCTTTTTAGTTGTGTGCACCACTGTGCCACCTTCCCTCAGCGAGGGGGTGAATGCACAAGAGACTATAAAGAGCATCAGTGATGGGATCAGGCAGGTACCCAGGCTGGTGTCTGGGGATCTCCCCCCGCCCTGCCAGCTTGGTGCGATGGAAGGGGTGGCCCCTCTTACCGTCACTGCAGCAGATCCCGGGTGCAGCACACCTGCCCCCTGCGCCGCAGGCTTTGCCCCCAGTCTCGCACGGGGACGGGAGGTAGTTCTCCTCCACGCAGCGCAGGGTCTCAGCAGTGCCCACGTAGCAGCCCAGCTCCTCCCCGCAGCAGATGTTGGGGCCAAAGCAGTTCCCTCTGTTCCCAGGGCCACAGGGCATGCACTGGAGCGGGGAGAGAGGACACAGATCAGCAGCTATGACCAAGGAGGCAGGGTCAGGCTCTGAGGGCAGACTCCCTTCTCCTTCCCTCTCTGCTTGCTGCAGGCGATGCCCACAGCCCACCTCTCTCCAGAAGGGCGGGTGCATCCCGGGGGGATGCCAACCAGCTCATTAGGCCCTGGCCCCTTGACGTCCCCTGGTTGCAAGGGGATCTGGGCATCCTCCTTGGCTGTGGAAGAGCTGATTTCCAACATTGTCTCCTGCACCCGCCACCGGAGCACCAGGGCTGCTTGCTCAGGGCTGCCTTTTGGAGGGGGGTGTGTGTGTGTCTGTATTGCACGCACACGCTCCCTCATCTGGATGTTCTGGAGGGCTGGTCAAGGCATTTAGGCACTTGCTATCTAGGTGTGTGTAGCCCTGGTGGCTGAAGCCACTTGACCCAGCAGCCAGTGCTCTAGACTCTGCAAAGCAGCTGCGTGGCCCGGGCAGGTCCCTCCTGCCTCCCCTTGCCCCCCCTGCCCAGCTTCGGGGCAGAGACTGCAAGTCTCAGGGCTGGGAGCCCCACTGGGGTGCATTCATGCGCTTCATAGGTGTGACGTGTCTGAGCCCAGCTGTTTCTTTAAAACCTGGGGCGACCGGTTTGATCCCCTGCAGCTGCAGCCGGTGGAGGACGTAACCCTCCAGCTACTCGCGTAGGGAAAGGCTGTTCTTGGGAGACCAAGAAAGAGGCAGCTCACATCATGATGGGGGCAGATCCTCCCATGCTCAGGAGAAGGTGGACCCAGCAGCAGATTCCCTTTCTTTCCATCACATCTCTAGATCGTGTGCCATCTTCCCCCTAGGAGTTGGGGCAGGGGTCTGGATGCTATATGGCCCCCAGCGCTTTTGATGAGCAAGTCATCACAGCCGCAGGAGCTAGAAATGGCTGGTGGAGGGTTGTAACGTGCCCCCGCTTTGCTTTTAGTGTCTCCCGCACTCCTAGGTGCTGCCAGGTATCAGGGCTTTGTGCCAAGCGAACGGGCCGTGGCTGTCAGTGCTCCTCCCGTGTTTCTGCTCCGTGAGATTTTCTCGGTAAAATTTTCCCTTCATTTCTTTGCCGCTGACTGGAGTAGGGCCGAGCGGCACTGTCCCCCCGCAGCCCTGCTGGGCCCGGGCGCGGAGCTGGGGCTGACTTCTACGCACCCGCTTCGTCGAGATGCGGCAGCTTCTTGGACACCGCTCGGCGAAGCGCAGCAAGAAGCTGGAGGGGCCGGTGGGGCTGGGAGGCTGAGCGCTAAAGAGCGCCGGCTGTAGCCCCCCGGCTCTGTGTGGGGGGTGTAAGGGGTTAAATATGGCCACCGACTGGGTTGCGTGGAGAGAAGCGAACAGTCCACAAACACCGAAGAGTATTGGGGTAGCCGATCCTAGCACAGCACGCTGGCCCACCGGAGGGAGGATAACAGCCTACTACCGTTACTAGCGATGGGGTTATTCTCCCAGTTTGAGTGCTAGAAATCCTTGTCGAAGCCCCGGGGGTTCAAACCCTGCTCACGAGCCCTCAGGATGTGCATGTCTAGGGACAACTGCAGCAAGATCACTTAAGGGGGAAAGCTGGAGGGGATGGGAACACAGGAAGAGAAAGCACTGGCACAGCTAGATGGAGGTCCCATCCAGCCCAACTTCCCTATGACCTTAAGACGTGCCTAATGCTACCAGTCTCCGCGACCTGCCGTGGCAGCCCTAGGGACAAACGACAGTCCGGACGCTCACAGGCATTGCGAGCAGAGCCTGCAGGCCGCGGTACGCTGGCTTCAGGGCCAAAGGCTCTGCCGGCGCCTTTGCACCTCGCTCCCAAGCGACCCTCTCCTGCAGCGGCCACAGGATGAGCACACCTAGCACAGCCCTGTCGGTCTCCAGCCAAGCAGATTTTCCCTAGAAAAGCACCTTTACATAAAGTTGTGGTCCCAGGATGTTGCCATGCAACCATCACCATTTCTTTTGGGGGCTGGGACCAGCTGCACCTTCCACTGGTTTCAAAGCAAACGACTGGCTCGAACCGAGCACCTTCAACGGAGATGCTGAGACAACTCTCAGCTGTCCGAATCGTGCAAAGAGGGTTTGTCTCAAAATCAGGCCGGGGGGGGGTCACTAACATCCTCCACAATAGGCAAAGACCCTCTTGGTAGCTCTGGTTCCTGGTTCACCCCCTTGGCACGGCCCTTTTTGGGGCCAGCTCGGTCCAAACGGTGGGAGAATCCAAGCGGTACGAAACCCTTTGCTGCCTTTGAAAAGGGCCAGCCTCTTCCACAAACTAGTCAAGGTGGGTCTAAAAAGCACTGGGGGTATTGCTGTGATGAGATCTTTTCATGCAAAGTAGGAACGCGTTTCAGTTAGGAGCCCATTGACGACATTGCAGTCAACAGCAAAACTCCCCTTGACCTGAGCGGGGTCAGGATTTCATCCTACCTGTCTACCTAAGAAGCCCCGTCTCTGTTAAGGTTTTCTCAACCATTCGCTTTGCACTGGCAATAGCCGCGCGGGAGGTTGGGGACCGATCCCTTTCACAGCTGGCTTGGGACCACGGTGTGCGCCAGCTCGGGTCCTCGAGTCTGTGAGACGTGCTCCGTGTGCGCGCTGCACAAGAGGAGGGCGCACCTTTTTGTTCACAGCCACCAGGCAGAAGAGCCGGTGGAAGGGCGCCAGGATGCAATGAAGGGAGCAGTGTCCCTCATTCAGTAAAGCAGCCGCTTTCCCGCCCCCCGCTGCAGCCAAGTCCCAGCCTTTTCAGCCAGGACCAGGGTTTTGTGTGCGACTACAAAGCACCCTTCCTAAACTGGAACACGGCTCCCCCCTCCCCGCCCTTCTCCAAAGAAACGTAAGCAATTCGTATTTGCAAGGTTTGCAGAGAGCGCTGCGAAGAGAGAAAGCTTGGGTCTGCAGGGAAATCCAGCCCGGCCTTCGGGCCAGCCATCTGAACCCACGCTTCCACGTTCACCTGCAAGGTGCAACTCTCCCCTGCAGGCTCACACAGCCTCTCTGCTCAGTGACCCGCATGCAGCTCCGGCAGACAGGAGCCCTCGTCCCCTTCGCGCCCCGCACGGGGAGGGTAGCCACAAGCACGGACTAGTGGGACGCGGCCCCCCCGGAGTCAAGCAGGTTGTGCACATGGTCTCCCAGCCCCGAGGGGGATCTGCCTCCCCTCCACGGCCCCCCGCACCCTCTTCGTACCTGTCTGATCTCTGTGTCGGGGAAGGCTCGCTTCCCTCCTCGAGGGCAGTTCTGGATGTAGCAGGCTGAGGACAAGGCGAGGAGGCAGAGGAAGTACACGGGGAGGGAGGCTTCTGGCATCGTGGCGGGCGCAGAGGGAAGCGATGCTGCCTTCCAAGCACCTGTTGTTGGCATCTGGCTCCTTGCTGAACCCGCTGCATCTTTATACCCGTCTCTGCGCTGCCTCGGCCCCTCCCTGGGGCTTTGTCACCGCGTCCAGAGGGCCGGGCTCACCGTCGTCTCTCCCAAACTCGACTTCCAGCAAATCCTGTAATTGAGGTGATTCAGTGCAGAGGCACAGGCAGACACGCTGCTCGGCGGGGAATAATGCTGCCAGTCTAGTGCAAAATCCCCACCGGAGACTCCTGAACAGGAGGGGGGGGGACGGGCCTGATTCTGCTTTGCTGTTGCATGTGAGCCCCCACATCCCAGCACGAGCAGGAGCAGATGCTGGCAACGCTGGGGGCTGCGGCTCCTTCTGGTTCAGTATTTAGGGCTGGAAGCATGGCTGGGGTGAAGGGAAATCCATCACAAGAGCTCAGGAGAGGTCCCAGGTAGACAGGGCCTTGGCTGAGGAGTCCCGGCTCCTCGAGGGCCCCTGGGGTACGAAGCAGAGAGAGGCGTTTTGCGACTCCGAGGTGTCTTTTTTGCAGCAGTTGCTTATGCCCCGCGCTCGCGGGAGTTGTTCTCCCTTACCGCAGTGGTTCAAGAGGGCTGCTTACCCGTCAGCGGTGGGATGGAGCCTTCCTGCTCTTGGCCGTCGCTGGGTGTGTGCGGGGATCGGCGGACTGACTTGTCCTTCCACCGGCGCTGTGCAGGAAGCGGGGCCTTCGGGCGAGCTCCCCCGGCCTTTCACCAGCCCCTCGGCCCAAGCAGAGCTCGTTTGTGCAACCCCTTGGCCTGTGCGATATGGGCAGCCAGGCTATGGGACCACGGTGGTCCTTCTTGCACGTGCTTACCCCTAAGGTCGGGGCTCTTGCCCTCGTGCAGTGCAGGTGCAGCTAAGGCAGGAGGGTGCGAGATGGCAGAGCCAGGCCTGCTGGGGCCGTGCCCCAAACACGCTGGTGCTCCACGAGCAGGCTGCACCCCTGTGGGGAGGCACCACACGACCCTCATCCTTAATCTGGCCCCCTGGTCCAGCCCTCCCAGCGGCAAGGTTTCCTCTGACTTGGGGGTGGGTGATTCCCTCCCACTTTACAGTGGTGAACTGCTACTTGAAGGGCTGCCAGGAAGAAGAGGCGAAGCCTCTTTTCTCTCACTGCAGAGAGAAGGATGCGGAGCAATGGCTGCAGCAAGGTAAGTGTAGACGGGATGTCCAGAAACACCTCTCCATTGTCACGAGAGGGAGGCAGTGGACTAGGTGCCCAGGGAAGCTGCGGACTCTCCACCGGCGGCGAGTTCAAGAAGAGGCTGGGCAGGGATGATTTAGGGGTAGCGACACCCATGTCCTACTAGGGGGGGATTTCCTATGCGTCTGAGTTTTGCTGGGTGCCGCATGGGGCTGGGAGAAAACTCAGCAAACTCCCTCTGCCTCCTTTTTCCTACACGTGTCAGGGTTTTTAAAAAAAATTAAACCTTCATCAGAGGTGCTGGGTGCAGCAAAGGCTGGGGATGGTGACTGGGCTGTGCCAATGCTGCTGGCAGCAAAGCTGGAGGTCCCTAGCTAGAGGTCTGGCCCCTCAACTTGGGGTCAGACCAATCAGCAGATTTGGGGTCAGGAAGGAGTTTTACCCCATGGTCAGATTTTTTGGGGGGGGCGGGGACTGCCTTTCTCTGTAGCTGTAGAGGAGTGAAGGCCTCTCCCAGGGATCTCTTGAGCATATTATTAACAACCTTTTACAGAAGTGGGACACTGGCTGCCATGGTCCCCTGATCTACCTGCAGCAGGTTCAGGTGTTATGCCTTGTGCTGTGTCAGGTTTGACGAAGAGTTAGAGTATGGGTTTGGAAAGGGAAGATCCTGCTTCAGACAGGGGGTGGACTAGATGTGATCTCTGGAGGTCCCTGCCAGCCCCACTTCTCTGTGATCCTGTGATGTGCAAATCCCAGCTTTTGTCCAGAGGCTCGTACTGATGTCCACCTGTCATCGGCAGGCTCGAACCTTTTGATTCGAGGTGTGAAACCTGTCACTCAAGCTAAGGCAGGACCTGGGCATGGTGGTCTGTCATCCTCTGTAGCCAGGCCACACAGGGGAAGGCGCTGTGCACTTTGCCAGTGGGTTTTACACACGTTGATTGTGCAGCTTGGGCCTCTTGGGCTGCTGAGAGGAAGGGGGGACTGTGGGGTATTACTTACAGGTTTACTGGTGGACATGCACCTCCTGCCATAATTCAGTAGGAAAAACAGCACTGGGCTAGACTGGTATTTGGCTCCCCCTGCTGGAATTTACAGGCTTAATTCATTCGAAAGCCCTGTGTGTGCAAACACAGATGCGATGCACCAAAATAAACAAGTTTAAATGTTATAATCCTCTTAAATTGATTAGGATTAAATGCTGTGGCATATACTGGTGCCCTGGGGCTCCACTTAGGCCCTGGAGGGGAGTGTTTCCGGGGAGGCAGCTAGTCCAGCCCTCTGCCTGAGGCAGGGTCATGCCTATCCAATCATCCTCTGCCCTCTGTCTTCCCCACTCATGAATCCTGCCTATACCTTACCATGTATATCCTGGTACCTGCGGGCTCTGCAAGCTGGTGCTTTGCAGGTGATCATCCCGGCTGAGCTTTTGTCACAAATGGAGCCTGCAACAACGAGGCCTTGAGGAGATATGTGCTGCCCACAGACCACCCAAACCGGGGGTGTCTGACACTAGCTGGCATGTTAACTCTAGCTGATAGTTGCGTGGAGGCACCTACCTGGGACATGGATTCAGAAGTCACTTGCAAGGAGCTTCACTGAACCCCTCCCTCCCCCCACAAGCATCTCAGATTATGCAGTGTGTGCAGGGTTGACAAAGGGGAAAAAATGGAGCGGTGGAAATGCTGTTGTTACGTGTGTGTCCATCCTGCTGTGAGGCTGCCAACGCCGTGGGGATGCCACGTAGATCATAGGTCTGTGGCTGCTGGAGGGATGGCTGGGATGGTGCCCGGCGGCTGGCGGTAGCACCAGGCAGAGCTTGCGATGGAAGCTGTTTCTCCCACACGTCAGCTGTGGGCTGCTCCAGATTGGGGGGGGAGAGAAACAGATTTCTGCTGATGCCATTGCTCTTTACAGAGCAGCCCACAAAGGAGCAAGAGTGCAGATGCTTTCCAGGGCCTCTCTCGCTCCCATGACTAGCTGGGGCAGGCTGCCTGGGCTTGCAAACGCCTCTCAAATGGTGCTGGGAACAGCGTGGTGGAGAGCGAGGTGTGCCCCCTTGCAGCTCTTGCCAATGAGTGAGACTCTGTACCATTTAGGTGGCCCCTCCCTGCATGAAGCTGGGGGTGGGGTGACCCTTTGAGAGGCCAGGGTGGTCTTTGGTGCCCCGGAAGGGTACGCTTGTGTCCCCTCGGACCTGGAGATGCCTGGTTGGATGACCCCCTTGCTATGCTACTGGGCTGGTGGCTAAAGCAATGGCCGGGTTGGGGTTTCTAGTTGGCGTGCCAGCTCTCACATTCGCTTTCCTTGTGCCTCAGTTTCCCTCCACGCAATGGGGGGAATCACCCGTTCCTGGAGGCTGTTGGTCCCTTGAGGCAGGCACCGTCTCTGTTCGCTCAGCAGAGCCGTGGGCACGGCTGCGGCCCCACTCGACAACCATCGCCAGCGGTGACCTGGCTGCAGAGCCGAAGCGCAACCCTGCTGAGAGGAGGGAAGCTGCTGTCCTGAGCTGTGCCCTTTCTTTCCTTTTGTAGCATCCCCCGAAGGCTCCCACACCCTCGCCGGAAGAGCTTGAGTCAACCTCCCCGTTGGCGTAACCCCTGCTGCAGTCAATGGAGCGACGCCATCCCTCGTCACCAAAGCCAGCGGCCACCCACACGCTGCTGGCTGGCCTCACCGGCAGCTGATTACTTCTGGTCCACGAGCGCGAGGAGCGGGGACTCGTCACCTCACCGGGCTCGAATGCTCCTTCTCCCAGCCAGGACCGCGCCGCACGTCAGATCAGAGCGACCCGTGGAGGTTTGCTCGGTGGGTCTCGCTGATGTGGCACCAGGCCAGACGTGGGGCCACACTGTCCCATTCCCTAACCTGGGAACTAGCCCCGCTCCACAGGGGCAAACGCTGCACAAGCTCTGACCCTCTGCTCCGCTTCTGCAGACTGCCCCGAAACCCACCTCAGCGCCTCCGGGTTGACTGTAGCCCCAGCTTTGGGCCAGAGGCATGACGGAGGCTCTGGACTGGCTGAATGCCCCCGGCCGTCCGGTTTTCGCCCCTGAGCCTCTGCTCATTGTCTCCTTTGTGTGCCAGCTCGCTGGCACCGGATACACCTCCCGCGGCGAAGCTCTTTGGTTCAGCCGGCGTCATCGGGATGGCGGGAGTGAGGCACGCTTGGCTTCTAGCCTCCGCGCAGACATGGCCATCCCACGGCCTGACCTTCTCTTTTCTTTTTGGCCCATCTCTTTGCAAAGTGCAGCGCCCTGCCAAGGCCACGTGGCAGAGCCAACCAGAATACAGGCGCCAGCTTTTCTCCTTCCTCCGTGCTGGGGTGACGGAGGTCTCCACCGCCTGCGTGCCAGCGAAGTGGTCACCGTTCCCTGTTTCTCAGCGATTTACCCGCTTGGGCAGGAGCTGAGTATCAACGGGCCCAAGCCAGGTGCATGCTCCTCGGGCTGAAGGGACCGGCAGCCGTTTTTCAAACCTCTGCTCTCCGACAAAAAGTCAGGGGGTGCTTGTGCTTGAGGCAGGGGGGAACCAGCTGCAAGCCTCACCTCCGGGACCCCTCCCCTCCATCTGCTGTGCGACTCATGCCTCCAGTTTCTGGGCACCACGCACATCTATTTTTGGGAGACCGTAGACCTTGTTCTCTAGCCGAGCCTCTGCCCCTGTGCAGTCCTTGCCGTGGTGGAGGTAGAGGCAAGTGGCTCTAACCCGAGTGCTTGAGGGCGCTGGTCTAACACCGCTCGCCGCAGAGGTTGTCTCGCGGTGTTACGGGTCTGCCACAAAGGCACAAGGAGACACAGGCCTGTCCTAAGGGCCTGGGTGGGGGTAAGGCTGGCTAGGAAGCAGTTCTCCCTTCTCAAGCACGTGTTTGTTTCAGATCCCTTTTCTCTGTGCCATACCTGCACCAGACTAGGAGTTTTCCAAGCAACTTGTCCACCTGAGACCTACCGGTGCCCTGGGAGGAGGGCGCGTGGCTGGCACTGAAGTTCAAGGCCCTGCTGGAGTGGACACAGGAGGGGTTTGAACACTGGTCGCTTGCTGTCCCGGGGAGGCTGGCCTGGATGGCAAGGGTCAGAAGTTTTAGCCAGGATGCAAGAACCCTTTGGGGGCA